GGGATGTCCGCAGAAGACTACGTCCAGAAGCGATTTCATGCATGTGCTCGATTGCTTCACAACTTCGGCATGGGGCAAACGGTATCTTCTCCCACCATCGCAATCTCAGAGATGAACCCGCACGATGACTTGATGAAGTTTTTACACGAGGCGATGGTCATCTTCAATGAGAATCCAGGTTTCCAGAAGGAGATTTCGTTCTTCGGGGGGATCAGGTTGTCATCAACAATGACGGAGAACTTCTTCAAAACGAGGAGAGGACCCAGCATCCATGTGGAAAAGCAGATAATCGGCAACGCCAAGTACTTCCAGGGATCCTATGACCTTGGCAACGTATGCTACACCAAATACCTCAAGACCATACTGGAACCCGATGTATTTCGCACTATATTCGGAGATGATCCCACAGAGGAACGGGTAGGTGACATGGTGGAGGCGTTGCTGGGCTTGCTCAACTCTTCAGACACCTGTTCAGAGGATGGGGTGACATCGAAGCTTTGAGGACGGGATTAGAGGAATCCATCAAACGCGTCACTGCATCGCTGTACGACAGGACAACGTATGAGAACCGAAAGCGATCGATGATTAGAACCATGGACCCGCACTCTGATGAGGCGGCAAACGTGGCGCTGATTCTCGTTCGCATGAGGACTATGCCGCCTCCTGAATTCGACATCGACCACTTCTTCGAAATTGTGAAAGAACCAGAACAGGGAACAGAAGCCACTGACCAGCCCGAGGCCGAAGGTGTCGATATGGAGACTGAATGTGGACAGGAGAAGGAGGAGCAAGATGTTGACATGTCCGACCCGAAGACATCAATACTGCAAGCCATCGACGAATTTGAGAGGAAGATCGGGCAGGCAGAATTCTGCATCCACTGCATGGAGTCGGGACACACAACTCTCAATTGCAAGAAGACCCTTTCATCTTCACCTTCAGTCACCTCGGTATTGAGTGATTGGAAGAAGAGAGTGAAGGGAGAGGTTGCGCCCGACGATGTACCATCTGGACATCCAACCGAGGAGCCTAAGAAGAAGAAGCAGAGAGCATCGCCCACTCCAGAAAGAAAGGTCGACAGCGAGTTCAAGCGCAAAGAAATGTTAAAAGCAAGAGTCGTGACAATGTTCGACCATGACGGATTCACCTTGATCGAAAGTGCTGATGGAGTCGAAGGAGGACCACATTCCTACAATGGGCGGAAGCTTGTGGACGCAGGCCCTAAGGATATGAAGCAGGTGTATGAATTTGTCGAGAAGGCATTTGTGCACTCCAGCTCCCTCACACCAAAGGCATGTCATCACTTCTACCCCCTACCAACACGGAAGGAGAAGGGATACAAGCCAATCGACCCCATGACGATGGTCGGGAAAGTTGAACTAGTACCGATCAACGGAGTCACTTTCGCTGCAAAGAACTCCGACTACGGCAACCACAAGTATCCGACTCCAGACTGCCGAGTACCTGAATACAGCCAAGCGAGCCAGGCCCTGAGTCGTCGATTGGGAGCGAAGTTGAGACATCGAATTGGACGCCAGTTCAGGACAGGAGGAAGACTCACACCAATCAAATGCGATGAAGGCGCATGGGTGTCATGGGAAGACTTGTTAGGTGATAATGCAGTTTGGGAAGACGGTTATCACTACGGCAACATAGATATCGTGACCAAGAAGGCGCGTTTGGAGAAATACTTCGACCAAAACTATGAGTGTTTCCGCATAACCAAGAGGGTCAGATTCCAAATGTTGGCGGTCCGTGTTCGCCCTGATGAACTCAATGAGCCTGATGACCCGATGGAGAAGGGATGGATTAACGAACTCAAGGACATGGGAATCTCCAAAGGAAGACTCCACCATAGCGATGGATGGTGCTTTCCCGTGGCTGTAAGAGCAACCTCGGCACACTCAACGGACGGCGGAGGTTATGACGTTACCATTGACATCGACCACATTGGGTCGAGGATGACCAACGACATGGCCCTATCTATGGTGACTGCATTTCACGCTACCAATCTCGGAGCGCTGACTTCAATCATGCGATGAGGGCTAGTGCCGGGAGGTCTCGGATCATCGGGAAGGGATTCTATCCACTTCACATGTTTTCCGCCATGGGCCTGGGAGCAGGGCTACAAGGGTAAACCTTGGCTGGGTCGTAAGGTCGCATTGAGTGATCGCCCAGTGGTTCTCTACATTCCGGTGTGGAAGCTGCAGGAGTACGGACTTCTCATCTCAGCGACTGGCTCTCTATTGGTTGAGAACGTCGTTCCCTTCGATGTGGTTAAAGGGGCATGGTTGCAATGCGACAATGCGGAACCCGGACAGCCTGAGGAGATCGAATGGATCCGGTTACTCAATGGGGAACCCGACCCTGGAAGCTACCTTGTTCTGGAGTCCAAATACGGAAACCCGATCATGATTCCACGCTTTCAAAAGCTTGAGAGCTTAGCGGTTGAGGTCCTAGACGATACCTACTCCGAGGACGACGCCAAAATTTCAAAGCTGTTGGGTATGATCGAGGAGAATGGTGTTTACCCAGAATATGATAGCACCGAGTGGCAGGAACTCTTCGAGGAGATCGTGTACCGCCGAGCGATGAAAGACTACGATTCAAGGCCGTGTCCTAACTGTCTTGGCGAAGTCGATGTGCGATTGACGATATGTCCGCACTGCGTAGCGGTTTTGATCGCGAATGGAAAGCTCACACATGTGGTACCCAAGGAGACAAGGGACCGCAATCAACGATCACCTCCGAAAGATGTCCCAGCCAGTTCTTCCGGTGAAACAACTTCTGCTGCAGGTGCAAACATCGACGAAGTCATCAAGAATGCACGCAAGACAGCCGAAGAGGTCATTGAGATCGAGGAATCCGAAGGAGAGGAAGAGGAGGAAGTTCCTATCATTTTGAAGGAACGACCGGACGAAGCTGAAGGCGAACCCGAATATCGGGAGGTCCCTCAAGATGGATACGGGAATGAACTTCCGAAGCCTTTCCCCTTCGCGATTGACGAATTGCCGCAAGAAGCTGCGATCCCCATCGACCACAACTTTGGCGTCACGCAGCAATTTGATTTGAGGTTGATGAAGTTGATCAAGAGCTTGGCCAACGCAACGTTCGACATCAACTGCTTTGAGAGTCGTGAAGATGTACTGCGAATGTTCGACGATGGACAGCGGCACGACACTCCGTACAACAGATGGCCGATAGTACCAAATGATCCGGATACTGGGTTTCCAAGACGTCTCCAGAGAGCCGAGGTCGTAGGCATGAGCAGATGGACCGACGATGTGTATGCAGCAGAAGCGTGGCAGATCTATGAATTCCACGCCAATGTTGTTCATCCGATGATGATCACTGCAATCCGCTGCGGGCTTAGCCACAAGTACCTCAAAGAGGTCGGCAGCACTCAGCGCAGCATGAGTGATCCAAAGGCTCGAAAGTCTGAGACCCAGGATGAGATCATCGAGAAATTGGCATTCATCTCAAATTTCATCAGACGTATGATCAAGAAGACCTTCGGAGCGAGCCGATACAGTTACTACCAGAAACCAGATGACGAAAGTGCCGCTCCATACAAATTCATCGACATTAGTCCCGCCATCAAATCGGAGAGGAAGAATGTCACGAAGGAGATCCTCGTTGCATGCCGCTACTATGGCATAGAGGTATCCGATATCCAAGAAAGGAAATTGAAGTCCTTCGAAGAGCAGATCCGAGCGGGAAATCCAAGGAACGTTGAGCTCATCAAGGACTACATTGGCTTTGTCGGCGCTGACTACATGCGACAACTCACGAATGGTTGAACATTGGGGTCATGCCGGCATGCCACTTCCGGTACTTCAAGTACTGAGGGATCGCGGGTAATTCATGGTGACCGTTTTGGCATCATGGGAGTGAGATAGGATTGCGTCTCACACCGCTGGTAATCGCATGATACCATAGGTAGGTGCACGTTTTCTGCTTGTAGCTCCGTTGCCTGCTTGATCCAACTTTCAAGCGAATGCAAGATCTTTTGCTAATTCATTTCAATAGGACATACTGGTTGACCTCCAATACACTTTTGAGAACGTGATTCGTTCTCCGGTTTTTACATCCACTCATCTCCCTTCCCCGTCGAAGTACGGATGTGGGGGGTGTCAATAGGGATGGGGTCCCAGTATAGTCGCTATACAGGTACATGCCATATACTTTTGGCTCAAGTGCCCAACCAGGTAAAAGGAGCTTTAGCGCGCGGGCTTCATGTTGACCTAAGAGCTAGAACGGGGCCAGGGCACACCTTTTCATCCGTTCGCAAATTATATATATATATATATTTATGTTTTGAAGAATCCGTGTAAATTCGAAAGTTTACACCAACACAGGTGGCTCTCTAAACCAGGACAGCACCAGGCTGCTAGTAGACTCGATGAAGAAGAAAGAAAAAACATACAGAATTCAACAAAACCGGGCATGAATTTACTTGGAACCGTCCAACCAGACGGCATGAAAATAAGCTTGATATATTCGGCAACATATATTGCACCAAATGTCAATGAACTTGGCCTTGGTGGCAACGACATGCCAACATTCCACGTACAGTTTGCTGATCTAATCAAAACAGTCAACCACAAACCCAATGGGTTATCGATATTCAATCTCAAAGTAACGCTGTGCAATCAAATTCCACTGTGCCACGACTAAGAATGCGTGGTAAAACCACTCCTTCGACAACAAACGCACAGAGAGCAGACGTGCCAGATCAACCTGTTTCACTTGTTTCACAAACGGTTTCCTCATCAGGAGCGATCCCGCTACCTAGAGCTTTTATGCACCACTGCTGCCACAAACCCCTACTGCTAGTAGCTCCTGGCATTTCTATTAGGAGCAAAAAACTACTAGGAACAAGGGCATCGCTACTAGTAACAAGGGGCATTCCTACTAGTAGCGGTCTTGCGCAAGGAGCAAGGAGGCTACTAGTAGCTCCTGGCCATACTGCGCCACGCTTTCTCTCGCGCTGTGTGGAGGCCGGCCCGGCACCGGAGCGACGGCCGCCCCGGCGCCCGGCACGGTGAAGTGGGTCCGGGCACCCGTGAAAAACGGCGAGCGGAGTGGAGCCGGGCGAAGTAGGTGACGTTGCAAGTGGACCATGCAATGCAAGTAGATCGTATTTTTTGTGCATGTTCGCATCCAGGGAATCCAGAAATGCCTAGTTGGAACATGTTGATGGATTTTGTTCATGAGTTGATGGATTTGGTTTCACCACAGTCTGCCAATGAGTTGCTCAGATCGCCGTGGAGACGGCACGATTCAGTTGATTGCCAATCCTTAGTCTCTTCGAGATTGGCTTTCCTTCTTAGACATTTCTTTGGGCCTTTAGACTAGTCTGATTTCCTTCCTTTCTTTCTTAAGTTTTTCTAGATGGGGATGCAGATGTTTGCCGGCAAACTGTGCTCTAGCCCCATCACCTTACCTCTTCAGTCCCCATGTGTCACTTACTTGGCGATGGTGGTCTCGGATGTTATTCCAAAGCCCCATGTCGATCATCCTGAAGAAAATTAGGCCTCACTCACTTGAGTATGTGGCACCCAAACAGACAGAGCTCTGCAACATGTGGAACGTGTTGTTTTTTCTTTCCGGGAACTACCACCGTGCAAACATTCCAGTTGGAGCATGCTCCCGAGATGCTGTTGGTGTTGCTTCCAATTTATTATGACAGGTTTGTGGCAGTTTGTGGTTGTGGCAGTTTGTGGCTAGAGATGTGGTTCAGTCCTCACGAAGGGATCTCATTTTCGTGCAAATCACGCCCAGGTACCCCACACGCATGCGAATCCCAAGCATGCACGATTCTGCTTCATATGTGATGGCCTTGAATTCTCCTGAGGGGCTGGACTGTGCGGCTGTGGGCGGTGAAGGACACTTAATTGGACAAGTGCGGCTACTCCAGTCGTTTTGAAACAGAGGACTTCTGCCAAAAAGAATAAAGCAGACAATCTCACCCAGAGTTGACCAGTCAGATTTTGTGACACATATCAACCACCCAGGAGGGCAGCTTTCGGGATGCGAAGTTCGATGGTTGATGGAAGAAGTGTGTACCAGCTGGGATACCATGACCCTCTCAGACTAGCAACGGTAGGATGTGATGCGGATGGAAAAGACCGAAAGACCTAATCATATGCAACGGCTGTCTACCCTGCTTCCCCACACCAGGGCAGCTTCACCGGGAATTCACCGCAACCAGCCGCAAAAGCTAGCAAACCCATCAGCATGCCATCACCTCGCCCAGGTATTCAACTCTCCAGGGGTTGGACGCGGATGTGGATCAAGAAAGATTTTCTCGTTTGGTACATCCCTGGAGTACAGTGTTCATGGGCTTGATCAACAAAAAAGGCATCTTCTGCATCCAACGTCCATTGGGGAAGTTCCGAAGGAGCTAAATCTGATGTTGGAAACCCTCCCAGATGGAAATGTAAAACCATTCTGCTGAAGGGGGAGCGTTATTAATCAACAGTCTACAGTCTATAGAATACTCCACGTTGCTAAAAAGCCTGCGTCGCATGACTCCATGTGGCCTTTTTGTTCCCTTGCATTCCCTCGCACATTTTTCGAGGTTTGCACGGCAAGCTGGAGGGGCCTGGCTGGCCAACTTATGTTGTGTCAGTTTTTCCGGATACCTGTCATAGCCGCCCTTTCAAGTGTATTTCAGAAAGCGAGAACATAGATAGCACACGTGTGGCCTTGCTTTCACACTTGTGCTTCAAAGCAGTTGACACGACTTGGGCCGGAGCACGCCGGGCACGTTGTACCTTACAGTAGGTCTCCTAGAATTTCTCCACCGGTGTCCGACCTGTATGGACCGCCCCCAGGGAGAATGATGGGATCGACGAAGAGGTGAAGAGGCAAAAAGCCGAAGATCAAGATCTTCCTGCTCAAGTCGAGCTGAAGGACCGACGCCCCGACCGGCCCGGGAGAGACTGCCCGAGGATTGACGACGTCTTGACGGAACCCATCCTTGCTGGGGGATTGACAGGTGAGACTGGCCGCAGAAACGACGCTTCTGTGTGGTTTGGGTGGCTCTGAGATGCCACAAGTGGCTTTGGTTGCCATCTCTAAAGGGCAGCTGCAACATTGGGGTACATCCGGTAAACCCTGAGTGCACCAAAAGGTTCAGCTCTGGGGTGAACTGACACTGCATCCAACATGGTGGCAAATCTGTGCATTTTCATCACCTTGCTGTATAAGTCACTAAGTCAGCTTCTTGTTCCTAATACCTTTTTGTTACTACTAGTAAGGCACTTGTTACTACTAGCGATGCACTTGTTTCTAATAGCTTCTTGCTGTATAAGTCTATGTTGAAGATGCTGGGAGTTCCGGAGTTCCGAAGAGGGTGTGTAGCTTCTTCGAAGATGATCCGGATTCTCATGGCATGATCTCCAAAACCAATAAGCATGAACTTAAGGGAAATGACTCATTTCTCGTGTGTTTTCTGCACACCTCTGAAGCAGGAGATGGGCTACCTGCTTCCCAGCCCCGCCAACCAAGCGCCCAGCGTGGGCGGCTTTCGCCGGGCAGGCGGATGGGGTAAGCCATATGCACCGAGCTTTGTTTAGCTGCAAGACGAGCACTTGACTCAGGGTTTTACAAGCAACCCAGAATTCGGCTGGCCGAAACAAGCCGTGAACTCTGCCCCGTGTGCCCCGAATGGCAGGTGCCGACTATGAGCGACAAAATCTCTCAGCGATATGGCTCTTGCAGGCCGAGATCTTAGGGTGGCTGCCTTGATCAGACATAGGAGGTCACACATTTTTTGGCCAAAACATGTCATGCATTTGTAGGGATGGCAAGATGGGATGTCCCTGTTGGATTTGGTTTAACATGGTTTAACCTTCATTGAACATCGAGCCCCCATTGAGACTGTTGTTGATGTTGTTGGTGGTGGTTTGCTGCTGCTGCTGGTGGGTCGGATCTCCAATTGTATAATCGCCTGTTCCCACCAGATTTGGGTTTCAAAACAGGGAAAATTGTATGAAGAAGATGTGAAGACAGAGAGAGAGAGAGAGAGACAACACTACGAAACAGCATGACATAGCTATAGATGTTTCCATGGAGACATTGATTGTACATGCATGAAGGCCTTCTCAGAAAATTGAAAGTTCACAAGTCAACCCTGCTGCTAGGTTACCCGCAAGATCTACGATGACTCTGTGAAGGTTGTTCCGTCCGAGAGAATGTGTGGATCGTTGTGCAGCACAGGTCAGTGACAGTACGTTGAGAGAAACAATCATTGGCAAACCGCATAGCTAAGTGTTTTTCTTTTACTGTAACAACATCTATATTTGTACAATTGCCTTGGGGATCTTGCACTTGCATCACTTGGGACTTGCAAAAGCCTTTGGTTGTTCTCGGCTCTTTCTTTCGATACACCAGCTACTCCTCTCACCAGCTCTCCACAGGGGAGCGCACGGTCGGGATGAAAAGTCAACGGAGTCCCGTCTCCCTTCAACCGGGGCAAATGCGATTTTGGTGAACTATGAGAATATAGTAATATGTTCCCCCCCAAGACACGGTTGTGGACTTGCTATTTCTGCTTTATGTTTTGCCACTTCTGGACCTGGATCGGTTGGCTGTTTGGATTTATATGGATTTATGGTTGACGTCCAGTGTTTTCAAGATCGTCCAACTCCAGAAAGCAAAGTTCGGCCCTGGGGGCCAATACTCTGAGTGCTGCGAAGCAATCAGTTGGGGTGAATATTAGGAGCTGGGGCATCGTTGCCATGTTCCCTGGAACTATTGTGCCTTTTTGATTCCTTTTTCGACTGATATCAAAGGGATGCCATCACTACAACACCTATATCCATTCAAGTAATATTGCAGAATCCTAGAATGATGTAGATACCAGGCACCCAAAGCCATAAACAAGAATGGCCCAATGGGTTTGCAACTAACTATTACTATCTATTGTGTTATGATGATCACCTGGACCTCTCAGGGACATTGTCATTGCAAACATCCAAGGTATTCTCAGGTGATCAAAATATTGACATATACTTGAACATTATCTTGAGCCCGCCAACCAAGGCAGACAGAATTCTTAGTATACAGGGACTGGTAGGACACCCAGGGAAGTCATGGTCCAAACCCATTCTGGTAGTTTTCTCATGGGTTTCTACAGAGTTGTCCTGTTTGAGAACGGGTTGCATCACCTCTTTCTGTGCGCTAGCGGGAGAGCTGACGGAGGCCATGATCACCGAGCAGAACACGGCACTGTCCCTCGGGGTGGACGTGAAGTTGGTGAACCACCAGGAGGATGAGCAGGATCGACAGGCGCGCAAAAACACCACGGAGCGCGTAAGAAGGTTCATGAAGGTTCCAAAGATCAGCCAACCCCAGAGCTCGTTGATGGTCTTTCCTTCTTTCGCCCATACAGCGGCCCGGTGCACTCCCGGTGCACTCCCACCGGGCTCCTCCTCCGCGGGGTCGGAATCGGCGTCGGAATCGGTGAGGCCTTGGTGCGGCTCTTTCGCCTCTCGGATGAACAGGACATGAAGGTGAAGGAGGAGCGGTGCATGGTCGACGGGCGCGGTCGGTGCATGGTCGACGGCGCGGGTGAATGAAGTGCGCGTTTGTCCCGTTCGCAGTGTTCGAGGGAGGGATTTGGTGCCGGAAGGTGGAAGGATTTGGATCAGCATGGAAGGAGCAGAAAAGGGTTAAGGACATGGAAGGTGCTATGCTTTGGCCACTGAATATTTGTTGGATATCAATGAAAATCAGGTCCCCGACGGTCCGCGATAGTCCCCGATTGTATGTTGCTACCCTTTTGATCAACCTGGACCTTGGATCAAGCACTACTCCTTGAAAGTCCCTACTGTAACTTTCCAACTTTGACAGGACATTTGGTGTCCCGGGTTTTCTCACACACACACACACACACCTTGTGACCATTGTGATCTACCGTAATTTGGATCCTAATCATGAAGGCAAGCAGCTACTGATACCTGGTTTCATTTGTGTGAGTTATTGATCGCTGACAAGTTTCGGTGAAAACACAGGACCCTGCCGTATGCAAAGCTTTCTCCATGTTCGCCGCAGTGTTCAACAACATTGAAAGAACATCAAAGAACTAGCACGGAAGTGGCGGTTAAATGCATCCCCCTTCACTGGTTTTCAACCAGAGAACGAAGGGGGGGGCCGAGCAACTCAGTGGCTTGCGCCGGGCCTCTTTTGTTGGTATGGCAGTTCTCCCAGCTTCTGCGACCCGGCAGCCAGCGGACGCAGCGGCTGGCGCCCGGCTTTGCAGGACATTGATGCGCTTTGCGATTGGCCCGGACGCCGCAGAAACGCCAGCGGATGGGACGCGGACATAATACGTGGGCAATGAGGAAAAAACACCGCCAGACCTCCCCTCAGAATATCAGGTCTTTTCATGTCTTGTCCTTTCCTGGTGTGTGTGTGTGTGTTGGTGTGAAGAAGAGGGACCTTTTACAGAAGACTGCATCATACATGACACTGGTCATGACTTTGAACTGGTTGTGTGAGGATTTGATAGACATTCTTGGAGGCACGGATGCAAATCTTCACCAGAGGATTCTTGCAGATTTGTTTGAGACAAGACAAACACATACAAAAACTCATTCCAGGTTAATTTCAAAAGGTTGCGTACACGCTCGATGGACCTTCGCCCTACTTTCCGTCCATCTTCACATTCACATGGTGCATACTGGCGCTGAGCGCATCACAGCAATTGCATCAAGTGCGTGTTGGTGTTCTCTCCATGCCAGGCTTCACAACTTTACCATGTTCCGATAAGTTTAATTGACACCCATGTCCATTAGTTGGATTATCGGTCGTTGGGCTCCTGCTACACCTTGCAGAGGTTTCCCTGGTGGTTTGATTCTTCTTGAGGGATGTCCAAAAAGCCAACGTGATTCCCTTCGAGAGGAGGAACCTATATTTGAGTTTGCCACATGCCACCCTGATGGTTGGTCTTCCGCACCTATATCTGAGTGTTTTCTACTTAGGTGCTCAAAGCAGGAAGCCAAGCTTCTGGATGTCGGGATCTTAGGATTTGATGGGATGCGCAAAACACCTCAGGCTTGCGCACCCAGGCAGAGACCCATCGATTCCATGGGATCGGACCGACTCCTTACTTGAGAGCCTGAGTTCTGGCAGAAGGAAGTTCCAACACAGCGTCAATCCTTGAGATCTGAGTTTTGGAATCGCGTCTATATATTGGAGGACCTCAGTGAAACAGCAAGGCTCTTTGAGTTGGTCAGCATTGAACCAAAAGGGAAGTAGAGAACCTACTACCAGGATACATCAAGGACCCCCGCTTCTTTGGGGGTCCATATTTGATGAACAGGAGGCAAATGGAGGCACTAGAAATTTATGGTAAAAAGAACACCTCGTCAAAGAGTTCTTCTCAGTAGTTGTCCTTTGGGAACCGTTAAACATCACCAGCTTAGGGTGTACCAATTGAAAGCCCTCATGTAAGGCCAAGTACAGTAAGGGGGTTCAACCATTTGCTTGACATCATTCTTCGGTAGCTCAAGTTTCTCACGGGTGTCTCCAGCATGCTCCTGGTGTGTGTAGTATCAACATTGCTATAACTCATAGATGCCCCCAGGAAAAGATCCAAGCACTGAACCAGTGTTTTCGTTTCACATGTGTTTGGACGTTTCAGGCGGTTTGGCCCAACTTTTTGTGCCATCTCGACGGAGGCTCGACATGCCAAGGTCTCGCCAACTCCTAAGGAGACCGGCAGCTTACCAGAGGCAGCCGTCTGAGAGATGGGGATTTGTATGGGTTTGCAGGTCTCCAGATATTGCCAAAGGTTGGATGTTTTCTCAGCACATGGACCTTGGTGGAAGATTGGGGGATTGTCACGGAGCCACAGAATCCCTGGATAGGTGAAGATTTTTTGATTTCAACAGATCAGTTAATTTCCTCTTCGAAGAATGGCAACGCGCGTTGCTCCTTCTTGCGGCTCGTTCTCGAGTCGCAGAAACGCAGTTGCCCAGGACTTGGGATATCCGAAGAGATATCCTGCCTGAGAAAGATATCCAAAGATCAAAGACCTCAGAGTCGTTTAACTTGGGATGCCCGAATGGACTACGTAGTCCATGTGTTCCACTGCCAGGTGGAGGGTCCTTCAGATCGGCAGAAGCAGCTTTTGGAGTACCAGTCTTTGCTGGACCCTTCCAAATTGAAAGGCCGGTTACAGAACAGCCGCCACCGCCGCCAGCGATAGAAAACCGTCTGACTCCGGAGATGGAAAGCCTCGAGACCTGACACGACGTCGATTGGTGGAGACGAACGCAGCTGTTGAAAAATGTTGTGATTTTAGGTGCAAACTGAGTTTTGCGAACTAATTTCAGGATCGTGTAGAATGTGTAGTACAGCAGTTCTGCCAGCTGGCACAGATAAACGACCAGTGTCCTAATGGTGGGAAGCCATTCAAGGGAAAGCAGGAACATGTGCCTCCAAACCATTTATATAGGACTCTTGCTCACTAGTACTAGTACGTTGGTGAATTAGTGACACACTTGCGTGCCCTTATTTGCAGATAGCAAACCACTGGTTTATTTTTGCCTGGTGAAGGAACAGCATACGTCCTCAATTTGAGCACCCACAAAAAGCCCTTGCCGTCTCCTGTTTGACCGTCTCTTTTTTGGAGGATTCGACAGCGAAGATCTGTGAAGGGTGACAGGAGAACCCGGAACCAGGTCAGAGATGACCCCCAACGGAATAGATCGACGATGTTAGACTTCAGTCAATTGGGTGGGGGTCTCTCCATTCTACTAGCAAATGAATTGATCCGTTGATCTTGAGCATTTTTGCCAGGGGACTCGGCAATGGTGGTGAGCAACATGCTGTCAGCTGGAGGGCTCGGCAGGGATAAAGAGGAGCAGGCCCAAAGCGTACGAGAGAAGATGTCTTTTGTTTTTCCCCCAAACACAAAACACATTGCAGTATGCTCAAGGGCAATTCCTAGGGATGCATGGCATGTTTTCGATTTGTTGACCACAAAGTAGAGTTGTAGTGCATATACATATTATATACATACTGTAATATAATATACACAATCAGACCAGGGATCTTCTGGCGAACACCCCATATTAGAATCAAAGATTTTGTTGCCTGGAGTATTTTCGTTGTTGGTCCCACATCCATGGGTAACCCATGTTCCCGCAGGTGCAGTCGCTTTGCAGACCTCCTCAGTGCAGTACTCCCCGGGATTGCAAGGGGGACCATACCGCAGGTGGATGTACGTCAGTGAGTACCCCAAGGGTCACAAGGGTTACACAACTGACCCACCCGTTTCACCTCCTGTGATCCAAAGTCATTTTCCTAGATAATGGCTCGTTCAGGACTATTTTTTCCTGATCTTGAAACCTTGCTCTGAAAGAAGCAACACATGTTGTTTGCTATGCTGCTTGGACTCTACCGCAACTTGAAGGAATATGATGCGATGTAATATAGATTAGAGAGAGAGAGATACAGACCAAGCATCTTGTTCATTTCCCTCTCTTTCACGGGCCTGAGCATCCTACTGTCACAGGAAATCCAGTCCCTCTCGTTGATCTCCCAAGGCCATGCAAAACAGCACGAAAGATGTGAATTCTTTATTCAAGGCACAATCGCTGCGATCTGGAAGCCAGGGGGCATAGGCTGCTAGAGGTCGCTCCATGCCGGAGATGACAGGGTTCTCCATGCCTGCAGGCAGATGCCTCATCCTCGGAGGATGTTTAGGACAAACCATGGACAAACCTTTTTATTCTATTGATCAGACTGATACTGCCGGACCTACAAAAAACAATATGTCTTTGTCACACATGATTGGAATACAATGCAAGCAGCTGGTCGAGTTTACCAACCTTTTCAAGAAGCATCACACGATATTCTGGAAGTCATCACCCCCTTGTTTGGAGGTCTGCATTCTGTTATGAATACGTCTGATTTCCTCAATTTCGGGGTTGCTGCCTCCAATGGTGATCGAACTCAAAGGACGCGCGCCAGGCAGAAGATCTGCCACGGCCATTGACGCAACCTGACATGGCGGAGGTGGATGCCAGATCCTCTGACTCACAAGGACATGATTTCCTCAGTTTTGACACAACCACAGCTTGCAATACTCTTGTTATTGAGAAGTGCTTCCGGTACAGTTTTCAGGAGTTGTTTTGCAGATTCTTGATGAGTGCCCTCCCTGTACAGACCCTTTTTGACCCCTCTGACTCTAATCTGCGCCTCCTGCTTTCCTGTAAGTTATATAATCAGTTTGACCACTTACCTCAGCGAAACAACCAAACTAGTCAAATGGACGTTATTTTGATTTGTTTTCCCGGTAGTTGCAATATGTTGCAATTAGATCTGGCAACTGAGGTGGTGCCCTATCCGCTCCAGTTGGAGGACCAGTGTGGGGAGTGGAAGGGTCCCTTCTTGGAAGACCAACTAGAATGTAAGTATCTTTGAAGCAGAAGCTTGTCAGAAGCTTGTCAGAAGTGTCAAATTGCCGGCTTTCTTTTCAAACCAATGACACTGGCCCCCGGATTTAGAAAATCTCTTTCAGGAACAGTTTTGGTTAGTAGGTGGAAGTTCCACACTGTTGCCATGCAAAACGGCCTACGCGTGAGTTGTGAGTCAAAAACTTGGACACTGAAATCGCACATGAAACATGAAAGACTAAGCCATCCTTTACCAGTTGACCGGATGTCCATGTGGGCTGTAGAGATGTAAAAGCTCAAGTAATCCACATGGGAGTGGCGTTCATGTGACAACGTTGTTTGGTTTTGACTCAAAGGCGTTCTGAACCTGCGTCTCGTGCGACTTGGTGGTATTTTCTTCTCCAAGCTTGGTCTTTGGCGCAGTGGCTACAGATATTTCTTTTCAAAGCAGATCTGGTTGATGGTGCTGGCAGACTCCCATCGCCATCGCATTGCTTTTCAGGACATCCCTGGCTATCAAGAGATGCAGGCCACCAAGCCGGCTCGGCAGCCGGTGAATGCTCGGGGCCCCACTGCGGCCCAGCTGGGAGAAGCCGACCTGGGAGGAGCTGGGAGTGGAAGTGCCAGAGGAAAACATCCGGCTCCCTGGTTTGATTCCTTTGAGACCTTTCATTGTTTCTTTCGTTCTTTCTTTTCTTTTCTTTTTTTTCTTTCTTTCTTTCTTTCTTTCAACATGAGTTCTTGTGACGCTGGGTGTCTTTCTTGCGCCTTTGGACCATTTTGGACCTATATATCAATATTTGGGTATCATTGTGGTCAACCTTATGAGCCATGCTCTCCATCAGAGACGGGTGTTTTTTTGGCATAGGTCTTCACGGTCCACCATTCAAAAATTGCCCAAGGAAGCACAATGCCAAGACGACCATGCAGGTAGGATGATCATGCTGTACATGCAGTACATGCATCTACAATCCGTTTCACCAAGAACGCACGTTTGTCCCTTTTAAATCCTTTAAGCCCAACACATCAACAACCCGTAACAACCACCTGACTCCTCCATGACTCCTGTTTTGCCAAGGAAACGCGGAAAACGCCTCGTTGAGACCTATTTCCAATTTCGGGTCAAGACACCAAAGATGTCCAAGACATGAACCGACCCCCATCAACAGGAAGAGAGAGGCATCATGCTCAATCATGCTGAACCATTCCAACTGCGCCCCCCCCCCCAAGAATCTCACAACGGCTGCAACGCGCCGCTGTAAGGGTTGCGGACTCTGGACCTGCCAGTTTGCATGGTTGGATCTTTTTGAAACAGGTTTTGTGCCAAGATTGGTGTTTCATTTGAATTCCACCTCCCGAAGATAGCTCATGATAGCTCCACCATCCGATTTTCGAGCCTCCACATCCCAGTCCTATTGCAGAGCCTTCAGGCTCTACGGGATCCCTTCCAGCGGCCCTTTCTGTACTTGGCCGACTTCCATGAGACGGCGCGAGATGGGTGGCGTTTGCGCGTCTTCGAGCGCAAGCGTGTGTGCAGGGGGAGATGACGGTCCCTCGGGTAAGCAGACGTCTGGCGGCTGCACCAAAAGCAAGAGGCCATGCCAGGCTCTCCTGCTCAAGATGCCATGTGTCGTTCCGCAGCTGTGATTTGCCTCAACACCAACCGGAGTGTAGAGGCTCTATGAGGCCCTGGCACCTCTCACTGCCGTCACCACGTTAAAGGTTCAGTACAGGCGCACAAGAGCCATGAACTCGGTATCTGCATGCTGAGCAGGCACTCCAGAGATGAAAAGCGGGAATTGTTGCAGAAGGCGTTCCAGGTATGGAAGGCTTGCCAAGGATGGCTTGATCAGCCGCCTCTTGAACGCCCAGCCCACCACATCACAATCCAAAAGAAGGAGGTAATGGAGTCAATTTGGCATGCGTTTCCGACCTTTAATCTTCCTGTGCTTGTACCGCTTCTTCTGCCGGCGAAGGCACTCGCGCCGTTCGCCACCTTGTGAAGGAATCAATGAATCTTGAATCATGGATAACAACTGATAACAACTATGAAATGGGGTGAACTTGAGGCCAGTATAGACTGAGATATGTAATTAAGATTAATTAAGCACCAGGGTCACTGGCAGTCAACAAAACAGATATGTAAAGTTTACATGTTTCTTTGAGCGCCTTAGGCCACTTATTACTATGTTGATTTATATAATAAAGTAGTTCTTTGTGCTGCTATCTAAATCTATGATAAGCCTAGGTTGGGCCACGCATTTGGTATGGAATTTACGTTTTCATATGACTAGACTAGACGATGTTGCATGGTTTCTTTGTGTACAAAGAGATGGTGTGTAAGCGCTGGTTGCGCGCAGGTCCGGTGCCGAGTGGACTCTCCGATGGCTCGAAGTCGTTGCAATGACCATTTCGTTCTCAGTCCAACTGGTCCCCGACAAAGGCCCTTTTTACAGAGGGAGAGGTAAAGCAAGGCAACGGGATGCACAGGCAGTAAGGGTGGCAGGGTCGAAGTCAAAGGACAGCCAAAAAGAGAAGCGCCAAAATTCGGCAATGGTTCGGGACATCCTGGCCGAAGGGTTCGTCCATGTTCACTTGCTAACTAAGCACGATAAGGACTCCAGGGGGATTTGCTCGGCTGTTTTCACCTGGCTACCTGTTTTGGTTTCTCTCGATGTGTCCCGCCATTTTCCAGGCTTTTAGACAAGTTGAAGTTAATTTGATATAAGTCATGTTGGTAATCCATCTTGGAAAGCCCCTGGTCGATGAAAGTATTTCGAGGGCCTCGAACATACCTTCCCCACGTCAATAATCTTGAGAAACAGTTTGAAGGCCCACGGTCGCGCGAGAAGGGAATGACTCCACACAATTCATTGGTTCTTTGGGCCTTGGATTTGTTTTGTAACCCTTTGCAACTCAGATCCAGACACGGTGGAGTTGCATGGTCACACCCGTACCACACGGTGGTCTCACAGGAACTCTGCACTGGTCGCACCGTCCTTGGTACCGTGGGCCAGGTCATGCCCTCCTTCGAAAGTACCTCGAGCTACGGGCGCGGTGACCGGGGCGATCTGCGATCCAAAGACGTGTTCTTTGTTGTTGGAACCAGGTGACATGGAGTTCCCGATTTGCCCGCACTTCTATTTCAATGAAGAGCCTATCTTTGAGCCAACAAAATTGACTCTAGGCGTTTAGAGGGTAACGTAGCGAAAGTTTATTTGACCTTCAAGGGATCAAGAACCTGACGGCACTTCCACTAGCTGTGTGATCCAACCAATGGATGGCAATTGTATGCACTACCCGATAGCAGACATGGGTTTGCTAAAAAGTGCAGGTGACTGACCAGGGTTCTTGGCCCTTGACCAACATGGATTTGGGAATGCTTAGCACTCTTTCAGGATCAAAACTCAGTGCTTGGTGGATAAGGCAGGGATCCACCCAACTCACAAATGCCTGGCCAATGTTGCAGACAATCACTTCAAGTCCCCTCCAACTCACCGCTCACCGACTCACCGATCCAAGTTGCTTGAAATCCAACGCCAGGGACTGCAGAGTGGCAGATGCCGTTCCGGCGGAGAAGGAATGGCTGGGAGCCTCAGCCGAAACGCTCTCCATGGCAATCGCCTCCTTCGGACAGGATGTGTCCGGCACCATCGAACAGCCGGACCTGCGCCGCCTGTGCGTAGTTCACATCAGCATGCGGTGTTTCCATGTGATCCCACTTGGCAACGTAGGATAATACGCAAAATGCTGGTATCCACCGTAGCTGCCGGTAGGAAGGGGGATCATGTGGATGTTTCAGATTGTTTCAGTGATGATTCTCAGGATGTTCTCACTGATCCGCCTACTAGACTCACTAGAGTCACTCCATGAAGTGCCGGCAACAACTTCTTGCGGGTTACTGTAGTATTTTGCGCATGGCCATCACTACTGATCTGCAGACCGCAAGAACGGTTCACCCATTAGGGACCAGACAACGCGAAACCTGGGCTGGCCCATCATATATCACTATACCTGGACCATCCGATAGGTGTCTAATGGACTATCCTGCACTACTTAGGGATCTCCATTGGACACCCATCAGATGGTTTAGGTATGCTGCACAGCACTGAGGCTGAGCACCACAATGAGCATTTTTCAGGACAACAATGATCCTGAGAAGGCGGGAATGTGGGCGCCACAAGGTTTGCGCTGTAGAGAATTCTGAAGATGTAGATTCCTACGAGCAATAACAAGATTGGATTAGATAGATTCAGTTTTGGTTTGGTGGCCATCCAAGGGAGGCTGGGAAGCGCAGGGTTACCGGCTTGGCATTCTTCACACAGAGAGGCCGCATTTGGTGAGATGCTTTCAAGAGAGCAAGATTTTGGCTCACATATTTGTCAAACCAAATGGCGGGCTCCGCCTAGTGCCGTAGGAACATTTTCACAAGTTGAATGGTTTGTTCCCTCATTCAATGCAACCACAACAAACTCCAGAATACACCTTTATATACATAGCCGCTAGCCCATATAATTACCCCACTCGGCAAAGCAGCTTAAGACCCATGGTGATTTAATCCTTGGGCTACGTGTGTGGGAGGACGAGACCCTTGGTACTGACCATAAGCCAGCTAAGCACTGCAGCCCTGCAGGGCACTTCTGGATGGGGCGTTGTCGGACACCAAGCTACCGGTACAGGGAGCGAGCTTCTTTTGTCGCAGCTGTAGACCGGGTAGGAGACCATTGCTAAAGCGACTGGAAAACACGTCAATTTGAGCATCCTATCTCAAGCAGGAGTGGACATAGCGGGTGACAAGTTATGTTGGGATAGACAAGACTGTGCCACACATAGACCTGCTCAAGACGCCAGGTCGTATAGGCCGGGTTGGCCACGTTGGCCTCGGACAGTCGGTCCTGGGGAAGAAACGGGCCCTGGAACACCAGACCGGCCGGCCCTACCGTGGTTTGGAGGTTCTGAGAGATTTGCTTCCGAGTTGAGCAGGACGAGTAGAGCCGGCGAGGGTGATATGCTTCACATCAAAACACCCGTTTGAGTTCCGGGTTTGGGAGGACTGCAACGCCAAAAAGCCTCCGTGGTTTATGATTTTGGTTGCTGCAACCGTTGGACCTGCGAGAGAACCCCCTTGGACCTGAGATGGCGAAATGCAACCCCTGACTCGTTGCCAAAACTTGGAGTGATTTTGCGGGCCAAACCCCTGTGATTCATTCAGGACATCACGGCGTCTTAGGGTCGTACCTCTAGCACGAGATTTTGTTTTTGGTCATTGTTTTGCATGTAGAAACCTCCAACCCCAGAATGCAGAACAAACATATTCTGTTAGACTAGATTGGGCACGTGCATGTGTTGGGTATAGGGTCTTGTTTGGTTCAACAAGCTCTTCAGATTTCATCGATCATCAGGTTGTTCGTGGCGTGTTGGACTTCAACCAGGCACCCACTGAACAAATCCTGAAGACACAACAGCAATCTCCAGTGAAAGGCACTACTGACACTGCAGTCACCTCCTCTATCTCTTTTAGCTTCAACGAAATCATTTGCTGCTGCGCTCCTGAGGTCCCTCCACGGAAGCGGGTGATGCCAGTGCTGATCGACGAGCCGTGCCCCCGCGCGAGAGGATTTCCCCGAACTCTTTACCAATGGTGGTCCTCAGAACGATCTTTCGTTGGGAACTTGCAACATCTTGTGGCTTTTGGGAGATGCAGTGCTCAGTGGTGCGCAGCATTTGCGGCTTTTTGTAGCTCCCCAACACACTGACTACGCGGCGGAGTCGACATGGCCACGAAAGCAGACCTGCCGGCAGTTCAAGAGGCGGACCGTCAGGAAGCTTGGACTGACTTTGGGATGTGCAGGACCTTTCTGCTTAATGTCTCTAGCAGTTCGTGGGGTGCTCAAAATTGCTCCAATAGAGCATGTGTTTTTTTGCTGGACGAACCTTTCCAATTCAAGGCCTCTGACATCTTGGGATAGGAACTGCGTTGTGGGATGCTGTGAGTTCTGAAGCAAAATACACCCATGGAGGCGCTTGTTGGTCAAAGCATCGCTGCTCAGCAGTTGGGAGCAAGCCAGTCGAAAGGTGCTCAGTCGGGTGGTTTGTATGCAGAGCTGATTCAGGGATACGGCAAATATGGCAAGCAATAGTGCAAGCAGGTACAGTGATGTTCGAAGGGGGATATGGGCTAGTACAACAACATGTTCAGTTTGGAATCCACAACCATGTTCATTGCCTTGGTTGCATCGGAACATGTGGCTTTTCAAGCTGATGGGGAGATCTCAAAGTGTCGGCGAAGAAAGGCGTGTTTTTTCCATAGTCCCCAGGGCCCTCGAGTCCACCCTGAGTCATTGGCTTCAAAACATGGTGGCCCTCACAACCCTTTTGTAAATGGACACTTAATATCAGTAAGACATAGTAAAACATAGTAAAACTATTAAAGCCGGTGGATTTGTTGGGTCTTACTCTTGGAGCCACATCCGAACATGTCAAGGTGGTTGTATGCTGAAACATGCTGAAACCTTGAAAAGAAAAAGCCAATGGCCATGGCTCAAACGCACCTTCATACTCCAATATATACTACTAGCCTCTGGTAAACTAATAGAGAAGCAGCCTGTAGACCATCGAAACTTCGTTGAACATGGATCCTCGTTCAATTTCTTTGGAGACCCTAAATTTTAGCCTTTCCTTCGCGAGACTGACAGGCTCACTCGCTTGACTGGGGGGTCCGATCGTGGCGTCCAGGATGGAGAGCTCGAGGACGGGCACTCCCGATCGCCCGATCGCTCGGCTGCGTACCGGATCGCTCAGCTGCTGATGCGAGTGTCTGTGGGTTTTCAAAGGAGGGGTGATCGCAAGAGGAGGCAATCTCAAGCTCACGGCCACAGAGGTTTCATTCTAGGTTTTGATGGATTCTGCGAATCGAGTCTATAGGAGCATTCCGGAGAAGTCCCGCGACCCACACTGGTGTGGAAATAGAGAAAACGTCCGCCCAATTGGGGGGTCCTCACTCTTGGGGGGTTCAATTCCTATCATGACAGCCGTGTGCTGTTCTCTTTCCCCTGTGTCCCTGTCAACGGTTGAGCCGAAGATATTCCAAAGTGAGAATGTTTGTGTTCGCTGTTGCGGCAGCTACCTCTCTCGCTACCGCTGAGCTACTGCGCTGGCTCTCGCCAAGGAGACCACGTCGGAGCCCTCCGATATTCCGATTGCGTCACACCTGTCGAGAGCCACAGACGCTCGGCGGCCAGAAGCGGTGCGTCTGCGTCTGCATCTGTTGCGGTCCGCAGATGCGTGGGGATCCACACTACCCGATGTTCCAGACACAACAGTATAGACAGTATAGAGTATCCAGACAGCATACAGTAGGCATTTAAGAGGTCTTGGATGGTCTCGGTGCACCTATGTGCACGAAACTTCTTGAAGGATGTCATGAGTTGCGGAGGTGGGTCTTGCTGTTTTTCCTGCTACTTTAGAACCTGCAATCATGTTTGAAGGACAACAGATGTCAATGTTTAGTTTAGGCCTCTCAACACAATCCACTTGTTCTTCAATGTAGAGTTCAGGAAGGAGTGTAGGGTTGGACAAATGCACCAAACTGTTGGAAGGGAACAGTACATTCACATGCCATGCTAGACAACATCCCAAATCAACACACATGAAAGAATCTAGACGCTTTCTTGGTCATATCCCAGAAGTCTTCCAACATGAACAGTCCGTGCATGAGATGCACTCTTGCAGCTTTGCACTGCAGCCGACTCCGCCTGTTGTAGTCCTACCTTGGATGGGAGAGTTAAGTTTTTGGCTCTTATCCCAGCGCGCCTGGCATCAGCAAGGTCTTCACTGCGGTCGTGGAGGAGTCCTTCCTCGAAACCCACAAGAGCCATGACATGAGTCGCCAAACGACCAGAAAGCCAAGTCTGCAGAAATCTCGCCGCTGCACGCCTGAGGTGCAGGGAAAAGCATGAAAAAGCCCAGGAGAGGGGGGGTTGCGGAGTGCCACCATGCCACCATGTTGAGCTGGATTCGAAAAAGCCCGACTCGGCCCGACAGAACACCTGGTCATCTGCCACCGCTGCCACCGCCGTTGAGTGACGGTTGAGTCTTCCGGATTCGAGACCTAAAATGAAGAACCAAAAACCCTCATGGCAGGTGAGGGCCTTGGGCATCTCGTGCTTCTTATTCAGCTTGATCACGGTGATCCAAGTCTTTGCCGCGCATTTGGCCCACTCCCAAGCTCTAATGATGGATTGCATCTCCATGGGCGTGGATGCCTTCACCTACCTTGGACGCTAAGAAACAGTCAGCGACGATGACAAGAGGAAAGCGAGAGGGGCAGTTTGGAGGTCCCACAACCGCCGTTGGTGGGACATTTTGTTTGAACATCTAATATGTTTACGCAGACGCCTTTATAGGTACCGGCCCTAGTACCGAGTTGCTGGTTCAGTTGCCAAGTGGAGTCATCAGACACCAAGCTGGCCGTGTTCTCCACTACCTAAAAACAAAATCAAGAATGTCAGAACCGATCCATCAAGAGTAGACGGCCTTTGTTCGATTTTGGGATTCCGGCGTTGTGACGCAACATTTTCAGCGGTCGATTGCTAGGGGAAACTAAGACACAAGGGAAGAAACACATGTGTGAGGGGGCCAATTTTGTTTCTCACCTGCACTTCACTGCACTTCAAGGTTTGCAACACCCTCAGACCATGCCTGTTTTCGTGGAAGAAATCTAGCATGTCGCTGTGGAATCGTTTCTTGCACAGGAAACATCCTGGTGGAATGCCGAAAACGTGACGGTGGCCAACATGTTTGTTCACAGCTCGTAGTCGTCGCGCTTTCCATGGGCTCCTTGGCGACTTTCAACCGGTCACGCCGAAGCGACGGATGGGTGCTTCGAGGGCTGAGGCGCTAGCAGCAGGGTCGGTGCTTCGTTCGAAGACCCATGGCTATAGGTCTTAAGCGTGGTCAAACTCGCAAACTCACGTGTTCGTCGCGAGGTGCTGTTTTCACAACAGTTCGTCGTTTGTGACAACCCGTTTTTTGTTGGGGTGAAATTGGAGAGTAATACGGCCCTGCAGGAAATGAACCAAACTACAAGCAGGCACTGGTATCACGATAGTTGTAGGGAACGAACAATGACATCAAGATAGACGAAACATGAATTGCTGTTAGTGATTGTTAGTCAATGACATTCATGAAACAACCTGACAATTTACAAAATTGCAGATGTCAGAGATGTTTGTGGAATATGGCCTCTATTATCCTCTACGTATACATTGAAATGAGCTAGCATCCGAAAGCGAGGCTCACAAATTCAACACATGTTTCATTCACTGCATTAAACTTCAAGTGCAAATCATATTGGGTTTGCCCATGTTTGCCCCAACATGAGGGAAAGCCAAGCACGCTGGTTTCATCCACTTCCACCCAGCCATTGTTTTTGCTTTTTATCTGAGTACCCTTATCCAGTACAACAGCTCTTGTGCATGGCACCATAATATGGCACCCAAAGAACTCCCCAATCTTCACAGCAGCAGCTCTCCACGCATGCCACGACCGAGCGAGTCGGAACTGCTGCCGAGGTTTGCTTTGCTACTTCACGGCGCAGGCCATGGCAGAGAGTTGGAATACAGTTTTGGTCTGTGAGGGGAAGCTGCCCGAAGTGGAGGCCAGGCCTGACGGCGTCATCCGTTACGGAGCTGATGGCATCGGGTGTTTGTCCAAGGGGCGAACCGGGTGCCTCCTTGAACCGGTGAATTTGTTTGGGTGTGTCTTCCTCCACGAAGCGACTGGCTTGATCTCAATGCACCATTAGCCAAGTTGCAGATGATATCCATGACATTGTCTCGCCAAGACGGAGCATGTGTTGTTTGTGCGTGTGCGTGTTGTTTTGTGCGTGTGGGTCACCACTTGAAATGCATGCAGTGAAACACTGAGGAAGAAGGGGTGAATGGTTGGATCACTCTGGGTTTTGCACTGGGTGGGGTCGCATTTGACATAGCGTGCCTTCTGGAGTTCTACAAGAGCAACAAGAAACTGGGCAGCAGGATGCAGCTGAACTTGCCGATAAAAACAACAGCGTTCCTTTGCAACGGCGTTGTTTGAGGTTTCATGTTGGCCTTTGGGAATGATTAGGAATGCACTGAATACCTAGGTTTCAGTCTAAAAATTCACTTTTGGATCAGGATCCCCATTGGAATTTCCTCTAGGAAATGGGTACCCTTAACCCAGTTATAAGGCCTATTTTTTTTACAGAACGGGTGTCCCTGAGAGTGCGGTTTTCCATAGATGTGCAGATGTTATTTTGCCACAGATAGAGACATTTCAGATATGACCAGATGCTTTGAGTATTCATAAATACAAAAGAATACAATGTTCCAGAGGTTTGGGAATCTTGGGTCTCCAAAAAAAAACAATTTTCCAGAGGTCTTTGAACTTGGGGCTTCTGCAGGAAGAGTTCTGAAATATTGTTGTTTTTTTTATATTTTTTTTTTCACTTTTTTTGGTTCCTCTATCTGGCGGCCCAAGCAGACAGGGGACATCAATAGGAGGAAACATTACAATACATGAATGGCAAAAATCATATCTAGTAAGCAGAGAATGGTTGTG